GTCCCAATCCTTCTGATCGAGATCGCGGACGTACATCTTGAGGGCCCTGGTCGCGGTCTGCACCATTCTCTCAGCGGCCCCGTTGGCTTGTGGCCGATATGCCATCGTCGCCCGCTGCCGTTGTCTCAGGATCTTGTTAAATGCTCGGAAGAAATCGGACATGAAGCCGGGTTCTCGATCATGCCGTATCATCTCACTGGCACCAAATCGCCGAAATACACACTCTTCGTACGATTCCGCAACCGTCTGGGCCGATCCGGACGAGCATCCCTCCGCGACCACATATCCGGTGAACCGATCGACCCAGATCAATAACTCAGTGTTTCCTTTGTGTGATCTGGGTACTGACGGTATGTGATCCATCGCAATAATCTGGAAAGGATACGTCGCCTGCAAGTTCTCCGGTGATTCACCCCGGATCACCGGTTTTCCTTTTCCTGTCTCGCAAACCACACATTCTCCCACATATCGCTGAACGCTCCGGTATAATCCCCTCCAGTGGAAGAGATCCCTGATACGCTGGTAGGTACGCCCCACTCCCTGATGTCCTCCTTCCAACGTGGTGTGATAGTGGTGTAAGACGTCCGATTGCAGCGTTTCGGGGACTACCAATCTCAGCAATCGATCGCGATCGTCCCCCGATCTCGGCGTGGGGGGGGGCAGTAAAAGAGTAGATCCTGCTCGTCTACCTCGTAGTCGGCCGCGATCTTGCCATACGATCTTGCTTCCGCTTGTGTGAGATCTGCGATCGAGCCACTCAGGTACTTCTTCATGCCGGTGATCCAGACTTCTTCCTCCTGGGCCTGCTTAATCCGATCGACCCGGATCTCCCGGATCAGATCCTCTTGCATGACACCCGCCTGTGATCTTGCTCGACCAGACCGAGTGGTCACCGCTGCTACTCGCACCAATGGGTTCTCGGTCCTGGGAATCAAGATTTCGTCTAACCGGTTCAGGGTAACCCGATCCTGGTAGCCGGGCACCTCCTGGACCTCGATCTACCCTTGTCGTTGCAAAGCGGCGCTCACTAGACTGTCGGCACTCCCGTTCCAGTCCCTCTTGACATACACCAACTCATGATCACTCCATTTCCTCAGGCGATCGAGGGCCTTCCGCTTCAATAGCGTCAGTCCGGGCGCTTTGCAATCGATCTCGCCCCGTACTTGTCGGATCACTAAGTTGGAATCACCGCAGACCACCAGGCGTTTGCGATCCAGGTCCTCTAGCATGTCGAGTCCCAGGATCAGGCCGTTATATTCGGCTTCGTTCACGGTGAGGCTCTCGAGATAGCCTGATCTGGCCTTGACCGCCTCCCATCCGGGCAGACTCCACACTAGCGCGCCGGACGCGACCCCACCACACTTAACCCGAGCGGATCTGTCAAAGCTGATCACCCATAGTTCCTCGTCTCGATCTACGGTGGGTATCGGTGCTTGGATCCGGCGTTTAGGTTCTTTCCGGGGGGCGATTTCGGTCAGTGCGTCGTCGATCTTCGCCCTCGGCGTGATGCTAGCAGCGATCGCCCCCAGTATCTCGTCCTCACCCTTCATGCACTTCGTGATCTCGAGTGTCCATGGGGCCAGTAGGGCAGACCATTGACCCAGGCGACCCTGTAATCCCGTCGACTTGAACAGCCAGGCCAACGTGGAATGCCGCGTCAGGACCCGGATCTCGCGTCCCACTAGCAAGTTGTAATAGAGATCCAAGATCCTCAGCAGTCCCAACACCACCTTCTCAGTCACATTGTAATTCGACTCGTTCGTCTTCAAGGTGCGACTGGCGAACCGGATGATAGATCCCGTCGTGTTCTCAACACCTCCGTCTCAGTCACGTCAACGAGGCGGATATCGCCCAATCACTGGCATATACGATAACTACCAGCGTTCTCGCCTCGTCGAAATGGCGGAGGACTGGGGTAGTCGCCATCTTGGTTTTTAGGGTGATGAAGGCCCTATGCGCCCTGATCTACCTCTCGTCCACTGGTGCCGTCAACTTCAGTTCCGGTGGGTCGTGATCTCGAGGGATCGGGTCATTCCGGTCCAAGATCTCCCACAGATCCGACCGTTTCTCCAGTTCTGCAAACTCCACTTTACGTAATTCGTAGAGTACTGAGGCATAGATAGCGTAATCTTCGATGAATCGGCTGTAGTAATTCAGGCTGCCCAGGAATGACTGCATAAATCGCAGTGATCCGGGGAACGGCAGATCGGTCAACGATTTCAGGTCTTTCGGGATCGTCTCCAAACCTCCGATCGAAACTCGGTGTTCCAGATATCCTACCTTATCCATGCCCCAAAAGCGCTTGGCTACGCTGATCGACAAATTCTACTTGTCACAAGCATCCAACAATTCTTCCACTCTTCGGCACATTGGATCCCACGATTCCGCTGCGATCATGATATCGTCCATGTATGATCTCCGTCCCAACACTGACTTGCGATCAGGATCGTACGCGATCCCGGTCTGGAACACGTTCGTTGTAGCCCCAGCGTCGCCTGATCGCGAGATCTTCAAAAATCCATACAGCGCGTTGTCTACGAGGCGTTGATAAATCTGCGGGGCATTCTTTAGACCAAATGGCATGTGTCTCCATTCGAATAATCCAAACGGGGTGATAAATGCTGAGATCTCACGAGCCCGATCCGTCATGGGCACGACCCAGAAGCCGCTAGCCATATCCAGCGAACGGTACCATAGTGCTTTATCAAGATCTTCTAGCAGATCGCCGATCAGGGGCACTCAGGGGCATAGGATAATAGACCATCAATCTCGTGAGGCTGTTTACCAAGTTGTAGCCAATGCACAACATGATATCCACACCGTTACTCTTGCGAACAATCACGATCGGTGAGGCCCATGGAAATGTCGAGGGTCGGATGATCTCGGCTGCCAGGAGGTCCTTGATCAGGCCTGCGACTTTTTCGCGAAATCGCGTGGGCAGTTTCCGGGTTCGCAGTGCGATCGGTTTCGCATTTCCAACGTCGATATCACATACGACGCCCTTGGCCGCCGGGGGTAAGGCGTTCCCTTTACCGATCAGAAGATGTCGCTTCTTCCAGATAATCTGCCGGAGCCTCTCGATCTCCTCGGGTGTCGCCGATCCGGAGTCTCCTACCTTCAGATCCTCAATGCTCACCTTCGCAGTCGTCCAGATCGGGATTTCGGGGAGGACAGCCAGTTTTCCTTCAAGATCTTCCGCTGAGAGATCGCCACTGTCATGGTAATATATCTCCTCATCGTCTTTGGCATCCTGTGGGGTGGTCGCTGTAGCTCCTTCTGCCGGCGGATCTCGTTATCCGGCGCCCTCAGTCGGCCAGATCGGGAGTTTTGCGTCGGGTTCTTCGGCGGGATCGAGTTGGAT